GTCCCTTTTGACAACATGACCAAAGTAGGTGAGACGAAGTCTGGCCATTCTCACTTCCAAGGAGCATTCTGGCTGCACTTCTTCCAGGACAGATTTGTTACTTCTTTTAGCAGTCTATGGTACTTTCCGCATTCTTTGCCAACCCCAGAACTCAAGCATCAACTCTTTTTTTCAAGAGCAGCATCAACTCTTCTTCGGTCTTCCTTATTCATCGTCCACCTCTAACATGCATATGAGGCGATTGAAAATACCATGTCTTGAGTCAGGCGCACCTTAGTCTTCAAGGAGACATCTTTGCTCTTCAGCACTTGAAAGAGGTCTTTTGCGACAGATTTGTTAAAAGCAATACATCTTTTGATGTCTTGACTGCTGCTTCCATTGGCATTGATTATAGGACCAAGCAATTTGAAGTCTTTGACAACTTCAATCTTTTCTCCATCTGTCATGATACTGCTTATTGTCCCAGTTGTGAGGATTTTTGTTTTCTTTATATTCAGGTGTAATCTGTACTGCAGACTGCAGTCTTTAATTTTCACCAGTAAGTGCTTCAAGTCATCCTCACTTTTAGCAAGCAAAGTTGTGTCACCTGCATCTCTCAGGTTGTTAATGAACCTTCCCCCAATCCTGATGCCACATTCTTCTTCATATAGCCCAGCTTCTTGGATTATTTGCTCAGCATACAGCTTGAATAACTATGGTGAAAGGATACAACTTTGACACACTCCCTTCTTGATTGTAAATCATGCAGTATCCTTTTGTTCTGCCTTCTGGTCTATGTACAGGTTCCTCATGAGTACAATTAAGTGTTCTGGAATTCCCATTCTTTTCAATGTTATCCACAATTTTTTATGATCCACACAATGAAATGCCTTTGCATAGTCAATAAAACATAAGTAAACATCTTTCTGGTATTCTTTGCTTTGAGCCAAAATCCGTCTGACATTGGCTGTGATACCCCTTGAACCACGTTCCCTTCTGAAATATAGCTTATATTTCTGGAAGTTCTCTGTCTATATACTGCTGCAACCTTTTTGAATTATCTTCAGTAAGAGCTTATTTTGTGTGGTATCAATGATATTGTTTGATAATTTCCACATTCTGTGGGATTCTGTGGTAATCTGTGGGATTACCATTCTTTGGAATGGTTACAAATATGGATCTCTTCCAGTCAGTTGGCCAGACAGCTGTCCTCCAGATCTCTTGGCATAGATGAGTTAGTGCCTCCAGTGCAGCATCCATTTATTGAAACATCTCAATGGGTATTCCGTCAATTCTCGGAGCCTTGTTTTTTGCCAATTCCTTCAGTACAACTTTGACTTCTTCCTTCATACCATTGGTTCTTGAGATCGCCACCTCCTGAAATAGATGATCATATATTGGTTCTTTATGGTATAATGACTCTCTGTATTCCATCTACCTACTTTTGATGTTTCTTGCATCATTCAACATACTGCCCATGCAATCTTTCAATACTGCAAGTCGAGGCTTAAGTTTTTTCCTAAGTTCTTTCAGATTGAGAAATGGCAAGAGTGTTCTTCCCTTATGGTTTTCCAATTCTAGGTCTTTGCACATTTCATTATAGTAATTGACATTTTCTTCTCAAGCTGCTCTTTGAAATCTTCTGTTCAGCTCTTTTATCCTGTCGATTCTGACATCCACTTTAACTACTGCGTTCAAGGGCAAGTTTCAGAGTCTCTTCTGACATCCATTTTGGTCTTTTCTTCCTTTCCTGTCTTTTTAGTGAACTCTTGCTTTCTTCATGGATGATGTTCTTGATGTCATCACACAATTCCTCTGGTTTTTGGTAACTGGTGTTCAGTGCATCAAATCTATACTTTCGATGGTCTCTAAATTCAGGAGGGATATAATCAAGGTCATATTTTGACTGTTGTGGACATCTTTTAATTGTCTTCAGTTTCAGCTTAAATTTGCATGTGAGCAGTTGATGGTCTGTTTCACAGTCAGCTCCTGGCCTTGTGTTTTTT